TAATGAAATCCATTGCCACATCTTCCCAAATTTGTGAGGGGATAGGAAGTGGTTGGAGGAACCAGAAGGTAGTGTGGTAGCAGTCTTGGCTTGCTGACAGATGAGGTAATTTGAGATGAAAGTAATGACATCTCTGTGCAGAGTTGACCAAAAAAAATTGAGCAGTAATACGTGTTTTGGTACGAGTAATGCCAGAATGGCCTCCTAATGGAGAGCTGTGAAATTCTTGGAGTATAGAATTAATCAAGTCAGGCGCTGCCGGTATCACAAGCCTGTCCTTCCAGTAAAGTAACTCATTCTTATGGGTATATGCATTTTCCGGTGGTGAGCCCTGAATACACTGCTGTAAGGTGGACGCATAAATACCATTTATTATCCCTGCTTGTTTTATCTGTTGCAACAGTGAGTAATGTGTGGAGGAAAAGGCTAGCATGAAGGAATGAGACAAGGCATCTACTGCAATGTTATCCTTTCCCGGCTTGTACTCAATGGTGAAATTATAGCCCAAAAATTTGTGAAGCCATGCTTGTTGTTCAAGGGTTTGAATGGACTATTCTGTCAAGGATTTGAGACTCTTCTAATCAGTGCGTATGATAAATGTATGACCTATGAGATAGCGGCAAAATTTGGAAATAGCCTCACTAATAGCATATAGCTCTCGCACATAGGCACTCTGTTTCTGCATCCTTGGGCTAAGCTTTTTGGAGAAGAAAGTAATGGGATGTTTGGCCTGGCTCAGTACTGCTCCAATGCCAGATCTGGATGCGTCAGTTTCCAAAATAAAGGGTTTGGAAAAATACGGTAAACTGAGAACAGGGGCAACTGTTAACGCTCGTTTCAGATTATCAAATGTTGCATCAGCTTTGTCATTCCAAAGGAATGAATCCTTCTTTAGAAGATCAGTTAAGGGTAGAGCAAGCGAAGCGTAACCTTGTATGAAGTGCCGATAATAACCCATGAGTCCGAGGAACCCGCGTAGTTGTTTTAAATTAGAAGGTCGTGGCCACTCAAGCACTGCTTGCACCTTCAAGCAATCCATTGCAACACCTTGTCCTGAAACGGTATGGCCTAGGTAGTCAATTTGTGTAAGGCCAAAGCAACATTTGGATAGTTTAGCACACAAGGAATGTTCCTGTAAGAGATGCAAGACCTCCTCCAAATGACCCAAGTGAGCATGCCATGATGGGCTATATACCAGAATATCGTCAAAGAATACCAACACTGACTTACAAAGCTGTTGGTGAAACACTTGATTCATAAGGCTTTGGAACGAAGTCGGTGCATTAGTCAAACCAAATGGAATTACTATCCACTCATACAGCCCATGGTGAGTACGAAAGGCGGTCTTGTGACGATCTTCAGGTCTAACCAATATTTGATGGTAACCTAACAACAAATCTAACTTGGAAAAGTAAGCAGCACCGAACAACTCGTCAAGGAACTCATCTACGGTAGGAATAGGGAAACTATCCTTTATAGTGATAGCGTTTAGAGCCCTATAGTCGGTACAAAATCTCCATGACCCGTCCTTCTTTTTGACCAATAATACTGGTGATGAAAATGGGCTAGAACTTGCCTGTATAATACCCTGTTGTAACATTTCCAGGACCATTTTCTCAATCTGCGATTTATGACTATGAGCATAACGGTACGGTTTAACCTTGACAGGGTTACTACCTTTAACAAGGGGAATGGCATGGTCCTGAGTCCTTTTGGGGGGAAGGCCAATAGGAGGGTTAAAAACCATACTGTATTTGAGGAGCAGTGTGCGCAATTCATGGTCTAGGTCCATTGGTATCTCCAAATTGGGAGTGACAACACTCGTATTGATAAAGTGGAGAGAAAAAAATTCAGCAATAGATTTAGTAGCTGACAATCTTTTAATATGATGAAAGTGGGCCTAAGAAGGAGTCCTGGGTTCACCATACAAAGTAATGAAGTTGTTGTCTGTGTGGAATTTAATAGACATGGCATGATAATCTGCTATATGAGGACCTAGTGTGGCCAGCCATGGTGCTCCTAGGACTAAATCAGCACCAGTCAGGGGTAGTAAATAGACAGGTAATGTAATTTTATGACCCTGAATTGATACCTGAAGGTTGTTAACAAAACCAGCTACTTCTAAGGACTGCCCGTTTCCTACCAACACTTTGAATTAAGAAGCAGGCTCAATAGAAAGTTGCAAGAACTTTGCGATGCGTGGCTGAAGGAAGTTATCTGAGCTTCCACTATCTATAAGAACTTGGACTGGTTTCCCTTGAATGTGACCCAAGAATCGGAGAGTCTCCACTCCCACGGAGCCATTAAGGGCATTGAAGGAGAGATGGTGGTCCTGAGTGCTTGGAGTCTCAGTGTCAGCGGCTTCCACCTGGGAATCCAACGAACCTTCCTCAGATGCTACCATATCTTCATCATCCGCTTGCAACAAAAGGTATTGACGATTCGGACAACGGTGAGAGAAGGAAAACTTCTCGTCACAAGTGAAACAAAGGCCCTTGTCTCGGCGCAACTGCATATCTGTCGGCGATATATTCTTGACGGACGGATTACGCGACAGTTGTGGTCTGGGTTTAAGGTTTGTCGGTGAAGTTGGGATACGATTTTGGTTATTGGACAACGAAGATAGGGGTCTGTTTATTGGAGCTGCTTGGAAGGGTTTGGGTCGAGCCGGATATTTTTCTTCAAATAACCAGGCCGAAGCACAGGCTCTGGACAGTGTACGAGGGGATTGGGCTAACACGTCGCGTTTGATTTCAGGGCGGAGGCCGCTAATGAAACAGTTGAGAATTGCCTCTGAGCTTAACCCTTCAGATCTATTAGCGAGAGCTATGAATTTGAGGTAGTAGGAGTTAACAACGTCTGTTTGTGTTAGTTTGAAGAGGGTGGTGCGGAGTGAATCGTAAGGTGAAGGTCCGAATTCAAGTTCCATTGCTCTGGTGAGACCAATCCATGACTGGAAGGGATTGTCGCGTGCTCGCATCTGAAACCGTGGAACGACCTCATTTTCCATGTGAACAGCGGCGATGGTCAAACGTTGTGCATCCGGTGTTGAATAAAATTCAAAGAACTGCTCTGCCTTAAAGATCCAGTGTAACACATCATTGCCATCAAAACGCGGAAAATCAAGCTTCACATTTCGAACCTGAAATGGTGGAATTGTCGTGGTTGAGTTCGACCCACCTGCTGAATCCATTTTGAGTGTACCCAGATGAGCCTCCACGCGTTCCAAACGACCCAGATCTGTGTGTCGATGTTAGAGATATTCAGAGTGGCGTCGGTCACCATCATCAGAGAGCTTTTGTATCGTGGCGGTCATGGCGGTGATTGCTGTTTGGAGTTCCTTCATACGCGTGTTTTCAGCCATAGTGGGAATAAGCACCAATGTAAGAGTTTGGATTTTAGGGAGTAAAGAAGGAATAGAAATTTAGAAACTCTGCACTTATATTGATAATGCAAATCAGTACAGAATGAGAAACGTAAATGAATAAGTGAAATGTAATTCCGCTACTTGCAGTACAGAAACAGAAAAGAAATATAAGATAATATCAAAAGAGGGAATAAAATGATTCCAAGGGAGAAGGTTCTGATTTTCCTCCTCACATTAGATCCTTAGCCTCCACTAAATAGTAAAATCCTTCAAAAGTTTGTTAGGTTTTCTCTTTCTGTTACTCTTTCTTGCTGCCATCTGTCCCTTTCTATTATTTGCATCAGATCTACTCAATGATTGTCCAATTCCATTTGTACCCTCAGGCTCAATCATAACACTTATCTCCCTTTAATGTGAAACTTTATACTGTAAATTGTCATTATGATTGGACAAACCAGGTTGGGCAGGAAGTTGGTTCTTGACCTTGACCCATTGCTGGCTCAAAAACAATGTGAACGATGCTGAGCCAAAACCGGATTGGCTGGACGAAATGAATATTGAATGGGTGGTTGATCTATATATACATGTATACTTTTTTTGTTGAGTAGATGCTTGATGGTTGTATATTAGGCAAATTGCATCTGTAGCTCATTCTTGTAAACACCCTAATAGTTTTTGTTTTCTCCGATTCTTCTGTAGGGGAGAAGAGGGTAGTTGTCGATTTTGAGGCCGATAGCATAGAATGCCCCATTTGTTTCTTTTCTTTTTTTCTCCACAATGTATAGTTCCTGTACATCAATATAAAAATTCATTTGCCAGATATTACCGTTCTGTTGCCTACAAAATTTGGTTCAATGCCTCGTCAATTTATTCAAAGCTAGTACATCGTGGATGCTGATAGATTTGTTTGACAAACAGAACATTGAATTCTTTGATGGGTTACGCATTGTCAAAAGTTGATTATTTGCATGACCTCATTATCGACTTGTTGTGTGCACTAGAAATGCAATACAACGATTAGAATATCAATTATTCAGCTATCCCAATTATTTGTTACTTCAAGACTTGCACTGCATCCAACTCCTTAGGGAATGTTTGGAGTAGAGTTTTGGTAATGTTTGAAAATTTTAAAAATATATACTAAAGAACAATATGGTCATATAACATTTCAATCACCCTTAATTGTTAATTTTATTTTAGTTTTCTTATTTTATTTATAAAAAACATGAAAAATAAGCCATCCACTTTACTCCAAAAGTCTACATCCAAACATACTTTTTAGTATTAGGTCCGGTCACAATGTATTTATATCGCAATAACCATCATGTCACATCATGTGCATCCACATTTCCTTGCCCAATTTATATCGCAATAACCATCGTGTACATCATGTGCATCCACATTTCCTTGCCCAAATCACTGTAATTATCAATAACAACGTTTAACCCTTATTCTGCTAAGTGAGATCAGCTTAATGGATTAATTTCTGCCATAATGTGAAAATCACCTAAAAAAAGGGGCTACCTCTGTTACTAATTTTAAGCCTCATGCTACAAAACTAGATAAAATACAAGTCAAGTTAACCAGATGGATGATACATTATACAATATCCCTACAATCAAAAATCATATTCTTAATCTTTACTTTTTTCTGAGTTTACGCGCGGAGCTTTTGTAGGACGCCTCTCAGCAAGGAAACGTTTTGAACTCTCAAGGACGCCAAAGAATATTGAACCACCTATGCCTATCCAAAGTACTCTTGGTCCAATACCCTGCAATAAATATAGGAGTATGGTTTATATTATATAAGATTATAAGCTCCAAGTCTATTTCTTGCCACAAAGCTATATTTTTTCTAATCTACATAGGGCAGTAGAAGATAAAGTGCACGCTTTGGAAGGAAGTTGCACCATACTATTTTACTTTTCCCAAGCTACAAAAGAAAACACAGAAAGCACATACCTTCATAAAAGCACCAGGTCCCTCTTCCTTAATAATGGTTTGAACGCAATCCACAATTCCCTTATATTGGTTTGCAGGTCCCTTAAGAGGAGGAAATAACAACTTCGTAAATGGCTGGATGATTTACTATTGATTTACTTGCAGATTAATTGAACAGATAAGGAATCATGTGTGTATGGAGATAGATGGTTATCAGATAAAACCTGATATATACATATGAAAAAGAAACAGGATTTCATCTTACCTGAATCATTAACCTTGTCTTGATGACATCAAGGGGTGTAGTTATTGCTCCAGTTAGTGCGCCTACAAGAAACAAAAATGGTATACCGCATCACAAAGTTAGTAGGATACACCATAATGCTTACCAAATCAATCCAAAGACAAATTAGAATCCCAATTACCCACAAACCCATTTACTCCTCAAAAAAATACAAATAGAGCTGGAAAATAAAAACAATGCAGTTTTTTTTTAGCACGTATATCTTCATTTAGGTTACAAGCTCCCGTATTTGAAGTACGATGGTACAAAATTTGCCAATTTGTCATACATGCACATCATATACAGCAAGTATCTCTATTCAATTCATTAATTTCTACATTTTCCTATCTCTAGTGATTTGAAACTTGAGTGTGTATAAAAATTATATGCTCTGTGCGTATAACATTAAACTATACTGTCATTTATTTACCTGCAAAAGCACCAATAATTGCATTTTCAGGATCATTTAGATTTCTTCGTGCCTAGCATAAAGAAATATGAATCACATTATCAATCACAAACGAAATAGAAGAGAAAACAACAACATTGATATCTTCGATAAACCACAAGACAGTATAACTTATAAGTTTATATTAATTGTTTAAATTCAAAATACAGCCTTGAATTCATGCTACTGAATTATGAACATAAATGTTTTAGTAGTGAAACACCGGCATGAAAGGCAAAAATAACTTTTGTTTGACAGAACCATTATTAATAACAAAACATCTCAACACAGTTAAGTCTTTAAAATACATAAATATAGAACTCGAGAAATTTACCGCAAGCATATAACCTATTCGAATCTGCTCATAAAGGCAAAACTGAATAGCATCAAAGGGCAAATCCCGCAGTAAAAAAGATCCATACCCCTGTAATTTCAAATATCAATATCAAAGAAACATTTTAACAAATTATCACGGGTGTAGGGAATACAATTTATCATAAAATATTACAAGAAAGAAATAGTGAGCTTCATACAGCATAAAATCCTTTAAAGCCTTCCTTAGCTGCAATAAAGCGAACAGCATTAGAAGCTGAGGTAAACTGCCCAGTTTGCATCCGTTGCTTGACAACCTGTGGAGCACTAGACAATGTGAAGTTTCCCATTGAAACCATATGCAACCATGAAAATATCATTTTTACAAATATGAGAATTTAGTAACCTCTGTTGGAACGCGAACAAAAGATGCAGCAATGCCCCCTATAGCACCTGCAGTCTAATGAAATTTAAAAATTGAATGAAAAATCATATTCCAGAAACTTCAAAAAAATTTGCATCAATAAAATTTTGCGCCAGCAATAACATAATGATTACAAATACATAACATCAACTACGGTACAAGCCAAATAGATCCAAGAGGATTCAGATGACCATAATTGACCAAACTTAGGACTTCAAAGCAATGAGAGACAATTGATTTGAAGTGCCAAGTATGCGCTTTTTTCTAAAATGAATATAGCATGCTGTATCTTCATACTAATGTTTATATAGGCAGTATCTTACTAAATGAGCAAAAGCACTCAGATTTTCAGGAAACATCGTTAGCAATTTCTGCTTTACAGGTTCATAAACTCCAACAAATAAAGCAGATGCCCTGCACATTTAAAAGCAACACCAGGTGTTAAAGAAAGAACCTAGATATGATTCATGAACCTATATTTTGATACGCATAGAACAAAAATTCCTGAAAACCACTTAAATAAATTTGTGAAATATATAACTCTCTTTCAATTAAAATATGCATAACATCTTCAATGAGGAGTAAATAAATAGTTTTTGTAAAAGATACTAGCTTTCCAAACTAAATTTTATATATATGCTCCCACAGCCTATGGGAAGAACCCAAGACCAGACTAAGTAAAGAGCTTTTCGAATGAGCAGCCAAGAATCCAAAAGTGAACAAATAATCTACATTGAGGAACATAATATTAAAATCATGTTAAATGATGGCTTAGGAGTATCAATCACAACCAAGAATTAAATAAATTATATTTCATATCCTACTGAAGGAACTATCAAATGTGTGCTAATTAAATGCAGCCAGAAGAATTGCAATCCCTGAGCCATCTCTATTCTGAGGAATGTGAACATCTCTCACACTATGGTATTCCTCAAGCATCTTTGTCACTGAATCAGGAAAAACGAAAGAGACGGAAACCACCATCGATGTGGATTTGTAGTTAGAGTTTATAAATCCTCACACTTAGCTTTCTTTGTTTACAGAGAAAACCTCCATATAAAATGTTGGTGTTTTCAGTTGAGCCATTTAGAACAAATTCAATAAATCATCATTGATGTATATAAATGTATATTGTATGCCCTATGCTTGCCAATTAATTTCTGATTTTTTTCCAAGTTAGTGCTTTCAAAATTTCTAATTAACATACAAAACCTAGAATGTTTGAAACATCATGCTATCCACGAGGTTCTCACGGTAAGACACCAGCAAGGTTCCCTGCCAATCCAGAATAAAGGCCTTTTAATACTAGTTTTTCTCCTCCGCGGGCAGCCTATAAAAACAAAAACAAACATAATCAGCATACTTTATGTAAAACGGAAGCCCTCTAAATTCATGTTAATAAAAAGGATGGAATTATAATTGTGTGGTTCCAAACTAAATGAATCCCCAAGAAAATGCCATGAGGAGCACATATAGAAATTTCTTAACTCAAATTTAGTTTATCATGTTAGAAAACATATTTATCACATGTTTAATATGTAAATAGTCATTATAATGTGTTTTGTTGTAAAAGTCTACCTGCAGACGTGTTTTTATAGTGTCAATGGGGTATAAAGCTGTTTCAACAACAACTCCTGCTGTACCACCTGCAATAACACCCTCTGCAAAATTCCACCGGGTTCATCAGAATAATTGCAATACATAGTTCATCATGGTCATAGTATTGTCTAAGAATTTATCAAGATATTTAAATACAATCTAAGCGGGAAAGAACTCCACCAACTCTTCATAGCTTATATGAAGGGATGGGGAATAGCATCTTATCGTTGTTCAATCTTCTACTTAAATAGGACCTAGGATTATTTGACAAATATGATCTTTTGGCATGCCTTAATGAAGCAGCCAATTGAGTCAAAATAAAGTAACTGTTAATGCCCTCTATCATTAAATGAAGAGAAAATTATCCATCAAAGCAGATAACTGGTGTGACAACATGAAGTGGGAGTACAAAAAATTTATGATTAAACCTGTGTGCACCAAGTCAACTTTGAGCCCTCGTCTTTTTATATTGATACTAGACATGTTAATTGAACATAGGCAAAAGTCGTTCTACCACGCATGCATTTTGCGGATAATAAAGTCTTGTTTGAAGAGTCGAGGGAAGAAATTGCAGGAAAGTTGAAAATATATAGACAAGCCTTTGAAACACATTTAGCCTAAATAGAAGTAGACATGGATTGCAAGAGACACAAAAAGAATGAAAAATTCATTTTTGAAGCAATAAGAATGTTGCAATCGATGAGTGGTTACACAAGACAAGGTAGGATTGAAAATATAACTACCAGTAAAGGAATACGGATAGGTCAGATCATTAAGGGAGATATAGAGATCAATAGTCTATATTAGAGTCTGGCCTAACACAACCCTACAAAACCGGTTGATAAGGTGAAGAGTGTCATTCTATATAAACTATTTCATTGCTCTATCTCCAACCAATGTGGGACTTTAGGATCTTCCTAACAATAACTAATTTAAATATTAGTATTATTTAAATTGGTAATCAAAATATCTTATTTTTTCACTTTGATTGCATAATAATACTTCTAGTGTAACACAACAATATCTACTAGTATTTGCTACAACAGAACAACAACAAAGAAGATATGATACTTACCAAATAAAGTGCGTAAGAAGTCAAATGGTTTTTCTTGTCCGACAGTAACAGATGCAAAAGAATTTCTCACAGTTAAGTTTTGCTTTCTCCTAGTAGAAGCATCTGCAAAACCATATAATCTGTGTGCTAAAAACTGGCAGGATCGATAACAAAGTTCTGCTTATAATAATTTATGCATTAAATTTATAATTATTTTTCCTTAACTATTAACAGTCAATCAATAATACAGTTAAAACTAGCCCTTTTCTCTTATTATCTCCTTTAAGATAATCCCAAATCCTGAGTTGTAAATGCCATATCAGTCGGTTCAGTTGGTATTTGGGAGGGTGTGTAGGGAATTCAGATGCAGGGGCACGAGTTGGAACCCGCAACATCCCAATTTTTCAGCCACAAAAAATGCCAAATTAGTTTTAAACGGTACTCAATTCAATTGCATTGGTATTATCATAAATCGGCGTAACAAAACAATCATGAAGTAAAATTCAACTAAACCAAAACTAAAGTGCAAATTCTTCTAGGGAAGTGTGAAACCTACCTGAAATGGAAGAGTCTTGCGCTTTAACGGAGAGTGTAAGAGGAGCCATGAATGGGTGATGAAATCAGCACTGAGAAAATTGAAGATAAACATCATTAGTTAATAAACAAACATGGATTTTGTGAAGAACGAGAGAAAACGACAACGGCAGAGGTCGTTTTGAATGTATTCGGAAGAGATAGCGAGTTTACCGATGAAGTGAAGAGAGTTATCTTCTACTAGAATGCCAGTTAGTTCATGCAAGCAGCAGTGATGGTATGTATATAAAGAGGAATAAAAATTACATAAGTATTCAAGAGTTACCTTTTGTTCAAAATGAACTTTTGGATTCAAACTTAAGTAGACAACTATTAGGTTAAGTGTTCCTAAAATATATATTAAATTAATTAAATAATTTTTTAAGCCAAACAATGCCATGCATATAAAAGAGAAAAATTGCTCCTTAAAGGAGTTCAATTGATAGTTGTGTCCGAACATTAAATATTAGAGCATGGATTTGAATCTAAGATATTTTATTTATTCATTTTTAAAAGAAAACTTTGAGATAAATATTATCTCAGTTAAACTTATTTTTAATAGTAGAAGGAAGAGAGAGATTAAGCTTATACAAATACTAGTTAAGGTGTGCATAATTACTAAAAAATTTATATTTTTCAATAAAATAATAGAATTTGAAACATTAAATTTCTTCCAAAGTAAAAATCTCTTTTGGAGGGAGAGGCAAACAAATTTGAGAAGAAATGTTTGCAACTATAGAGTTCTAAGTAGGGGTGTCTGTTGTTGAAGATTAAGTTGTTTCTAGCATGCCATATAATAAAGATGATATAATAGATTGGTGAAGTGAATATAACCCTTAGGATTCCTATTTTTGTCACAAATTTTCTATAGATCCTCCACATTTTGACAGTGTCAATTTAGGTTTAAAATGGAAGCCAACTAACATCAAAACTACAACAAACCCGCATTGAAAAAATAAATGCAAAATGGACTCTTCACAAAAGAAAAAGAAAGTGTAAACTGATGGGGATGGAAACCTCTAAGCCTAAGGTTGTCATTTATATGAACCTTGTTGTGTAACACTCTCTAAGCTACACAAAGAATTTGATGGAGGTATGTCCTTGCACCAAATAGACCTAGCCCAAGTAACTATAAGAATATGAATCCTCTTGAATTTATAAGCCTCCTTTAAAGTTAGGCTCCCATCAGGGGCCAATTTTCAGACAAGCTTGTCCTCTTTGTACTCCATAGGTAACCTGACTTGCATCACAAGATTTCTCAAATCAGGAAAATGACTATCAAATGAGGCAGGGAAGCTCCAACAATTATTGAAGATGTAGTCATTAACTGTGTAAGGAAGGTCATCTACCTCTTTTAGCCTAAGGTTGAACGCTTGAATAAAATTGGTGCAACGCCAACCATCCAACCAGAACTGGATGTTCTTACCATTGCTTATAAGCCAACCAGAGTGATCCATGATCACATTGAATTCCTACTAAGCTACATTCCATATGGATGAATAGATGTGGTATCTGATGGTTTGTTTACCCTCAACACCGAGCTCTTTAATAGCTTTGCCCAAAAATCTCCCGAATAAACTAGATTTCAGCAAACCAATAAATTAGAGGCTTCATTAAATCTGATTAATGACCTAATTCCCAAGCCATTTAATGACTTCTCAGCAAGTGTATTGATAATGTCTCAGTAATAAATAAGATTGAATCCACATAGACTGCTTTTTAATAAGAGAAATTTATGCAATGCATAGAAAATAGTTAATTGGGGAATTTTCGAGTTTGAATGCGAAAGTAAAAGAAAGTGTCCAAACAGAATTACAAAAGCGGTCAGGTTGTGTATTAAATCCTCTATTTATCTATTGTTGTTGTTTGATGCCTTGTATGAATGATCATATCATTATAATCTCACGATATGAATTAACAAAGTCGCTATAACTGATCCTTTGCAAAATAACTCACTAATCACTACTCGGAGCTTCTTATCCCTAGTCTACCATCGTAAGCAGTATTAGGTGATATACATAACGTTAATTCCATATGCCACTACTCGGGGTCTCTTATTCCTCTTCAACCAACGTAAGTATCACAATTGCCCTAGATCCAACACTTAGGCCGAGGGTCAATATGCTAAGGGTCAGTATTTCCTATGTGCCCAATGTTGCACCCCAAAATTTGCCCAACCTTTCTAACCTAGGTTTATGTTTCAATTGCATAGTCATTTGCATTGTCATCATGTACATAGTGTATTCATCTGCATTGCATAGCATGAGCAAGTTATCTTAATCAGGGGATCAAGTGTTGTTCTTATTTCAAGAGGTATATCCAAGGGTTTCATTCATATTCAAGTCTACTCAGGTCATCAGGGAAGAATTTGAGCTTTGAAGAGCTGCCAGGTTGATCAGTGAATTCTCTCCTATCTTGAGGCTAGTTGGGGATCATCAGAGGAAGTGTGAGCTATGAGCCAAGAGCATGAGGTGTGTATGGATGTTATGAAGAGTCTAGAGAATCATTTTTGAGGAGAACCAGGTCATTTGAATGATTGCAGGAGCCTCAGTTGAAGTCAGTCAACTAGGGTCAACACTGGGTCAATTCTTGGTCAAAGAAGTGTTTTGAAGGGCATCAAGGATCATTTGAAGAATGGGGGATTCATTATTTGCTAGGTGGATATGGATATGATGTTATGATAAAGAAAAATCGAGAGGAGTCAAGGAGAACTGGAGTTACTAAATTAGGGTTTTATTGTAAAATCCCTTGATTTAGGTCAAACTTCAAAGCAGTGTAACTCAAGATGCAAGCTTCATATGGATTCTTGGTCCACATGAAACTTGTAGAATATATTCATAGCTTTAATTTGAGTGGTGGAAGTCATCAAGATGATTTGTAGAACTCAAGTTATGGCTCTTGCAAGTTACAGGCCATCTGAGGGCACTGAAATTTGTCTGTGAAAATTGTCTGTATTCCAAGCAACTTTTGACTTTCAAGGGTACTTCAAATGGATTTCTGGCCAACATGAGAATTGTTCCTTATTGTCTTAGCTTTCTAGAATGGTATAGTATGCCTTCATATGATTTATGGAACTCTACTTATGATCTTGGCAAGCAAAGGGTATTTTGGTCATTTGAGGATTACAGGTCATTCTTAGTATATGCCTAAAACTCATACAAGGAAGCTTCAAATGAAAAACTTCACAACATCAAAGTTGTTCAAAATGGGATTTTAAGGTTAGAAAAGAAGGTGTGAAAGTTTGGAAAAGCTTAGAGCATGGAATTTTAAAAGTGGTGCAAATGACTTGAAAATGGCTTATAAGTTGAAAAAGTTGAAATGAAAAATTGGTTTGGGAGATCTACAAATCCAATATGGGTCATCCAATATACCAAATTGATTCCAAACATCATTTTAAAGACATTGGTTCAGCCACTTTTTTGAGTTAGGGTTTAAAAATTGGACTTGCTTTGTATTTTTGTTACTTGCATAATAAGGCAAGTATAGAAAACTTGGCACAAGATGAATTTTCAAGGCAAGGAGCTTACATATACTTCCCATATCTCATGTAAGGAGATTTTGACATAAGTTTGGAAAGGTGCAAGCATGAGATAAGAGATATTCAAAGTATCATGGCATGAGAAGTTCATGAAATTTCCACAACTTTCTAGAATCCTCCAAGATTATTCTAGAAACCTCTAAGTTTGTTAATCATCATCTATATATTGGATTGAGATCATTAAGAGTAAAGGTTGGTGATAGTTGATGTTGAATCCATTTGCAAATCATATTGAATTTTTTTCTTTCCATCATTTTTCCATTTTCCCACACTTTCACATGTTTGAATTTCCACTTTTTTCAATCCTTTTTTCTCTCCATTTTTTGATCCTTTCTCATTACCAATTAATTCAATATACTACATAGGATTTTTCCATCAATTTTTGAGAAGATTTTAGTGCAATTCCATGGTTGTATCAACATGAAAAAGTGAGCTCCAAGTGCAAAAGTGATTTTCATTTCCTCACCAATTCAAGCATTTTCTTTGATCCTAATACCTCTACCAAGAATTATTGAAGGTTTCTACACTTTTTTTCCAAAGAAATTCGTGCTCCATTAAAGCTCCATAATTCATTTTTTCAAGGTATAAAGAATTCGACATAACTCATGATTTATGAGCCTTTCTTGCATTATTGTTGTTGCATTACATTGCTCTCATCTCCTACATGGATTCTAGTATAAAAAAGATGGTTTTTATGGCAATTTGGTATTCTTGAAAGTTGGAGATTCATATACGGTTTTTGAGTTAGAGGCTATTTCAATAGAAAATAAGGGCATATTTGGATTCCTCTCGAAAAATCCCACAAGTTTCATCTAAAAATTATTGGATTTGGTTGAGAAACGAGGGAGATATGGTCACTTGAAGAATTCCGGCCACCACCCCCTCCATTGCTGCGTTTTCCGGCCACGACGAAGAAGACGGTACAGCAGCCGTCCGATCGGGCGGAATCTTTGACCGCGAAGCCGATTGGACCGTCCTCATGCATCCACGCGAGCTGCCACGTTGCTCGCCACCTCGCTCCAACTCACCCTTCAGCCTGCCACGCGCGCGCCACCTCATCCCAGGGAGCCCCCACACCCCTGTTCGATTCTTGGCAGCTGCACTTTTATTTATTCATGCTATTTCCTCTTATTTCCTCATATTGCAATGTTTCTTTTATTTTTCTGTTTTATATGCTGACTTCAAATAATCATAAAAAATAGGAAAATTAGTCTTTTTGATCCCCATTTTTTTGTGCTGAATCTGTAAGATGTCTAGGATTTAATAAAACTGGAATTATAATTTTACCATTTTTTGACATTTTCTTTGGATGTTTTACATTTGGGTCGTCATAAAAAGGCCAATGCCGGTGCTATCATTTTGTTGAATTTCTTTGACCTATCAAAACACAATTTAAATGTCAATCCTTTTGCAGGGATCTCATACACACGTTGAGGTATTGTGATATATTTTTGTGGGAATTTTATTGTACCATTTTAATTGGTTTTGGATGCT